CACTCACTCACTCAATCACTCACTCACTTCCTTATCAAATATCACAATCACTCTCTAATCAATATTTAAATACAGGTGTCGATCATCACCAGTGCTCTCAACACATACTGTATCACAGGTTCAATGTCTTGACTCCTAATCCATAATCAAATGATAAGTGATTTCAAATTTCTGTACGGATTAGCAACGGATAAGCACTGGATATGTGCACAGAATATACACAGTGTAGGCCTGAGTATATGAAAACCTGAGCTGAAATATCACGAGAGGGGTAGAGATAGCACTGGGAATGTGAGGCGAGTGGGGGCTGGCGTTGGAGATCCAGGTATAAAACCGAAGCACATTTTGAGGCAAAACTTATTTTGCGTTCAATTGCTTTACCATTAATTTTGTGTCCATTTTTATAGTCATATATTAATTATGAATTTCATCAGTCAATTGGTGGCAGTGATTGGTCTGTTGGCGGCCACTGGCCAGGCGTTTGTGTCCCACAAGTTTTGGCTCCAACACCAGCACAACCTCCACAAACACCCGCTCTTCATACCCGTCCCGTTGGCACCCATCCATCGCCACCCCTTCCCCCTCTTTCAACAACACCACTTCCTGTTTCCTATTCCCACTCACCGCCCGACCACCCGTCCCACCACTCGTCCCACCACCGCATACCCAACGCCCGCACCCGCCGACTACTACACCCCAGCGCCGGTCAAATACGCCAATCCTAACCCATACGGGGCACCGGTTGCTTACACTCCAGCGCCGGTCACATACGCTAAGCCTACCCAATATGTGGCACCAGTGGCCTACACTCCAGCGCCGGTCACATACGCCAAGCCTACCCAATACGTGGCTCCCGTTGTCTACACTCCAGCGCCGGTCGCATATCCCAAGCCTACCAAATATGTAGCACCAGTTGTCTACACTCCAGCGCCGGTCACATATGCTAAGCCTACCAAATATGTGGCACCCGTTGTCTATTCTACTCCAGCGCCGGTCACATACGCCAAGCCTACCAAATATGTGGCGCCCGTTGTTTACACCACTCCAGCGCCGGTCACATATCCCAAGCCTACCAAATATGTGGCACCAGTTGTCTACACTACTGCAGCGCCCGTCACATACAAACCCTCACCAGTGGCTTACAATAAGCCGGCACCGGTCACATACTCCAAGCCTACCACATATGTAGCACCCGTTGTCTACACTCCAGCGCCGGTCGCATATCCCAAGCCTACCAAATATGTGGCGCCCGTTGTTTACACCACTCCAGCGCCGGTCACATATCCCAAGCCTACCAAATATGTGGCACCAGTTGTCTACACCACACCAGCGCCGGTCACGTACGCCAAGCCTACTAAATATGTGGCTCCCGTTGTCTACACCACTTCAGCACCGACCACATACAAACCCGCACCAGTGGCTTACGATAAACCGGCTCCGGTAGTCTATACCAAACCTATGCCTAAGTATGACGCCCTCTACGACGACAACGCGCCCGTATTGCTCAGCAATATCTACGACAGACCGCAACCCAAGGCCCCCGTCTCGCGCCCCCTCTACACCCACGGACTCACACCTCCACCCGTCTATCGGGTGCCCTCCGAGTGCGGCGGCGACTACTCTAACCCCAGTTATGGCAATAAATGTTAGTTGTCTTTGGTTTTAATGTTTAGTTTTTTTGCATTTATTCATAGACTTTTAATTTACTTATTTATGATTGCATTTGATTTGTATTTTTTAGGATCCATTTAATTAACTATTGTTTAGTTTTATTCGTATTTAATTCGCTTTTTTACTTAACTTATTGTGAGTTTCATTGCTGTAAATGTATTTATAATTTTTTATTTATTTATAACCACTTTATTATAAATTCATTTGATTTTCGAAATAAATACATATTTTTAATTAAAAGTTTTAAAAAATATATGACTTAATTTCTATACACATATGACTTGTATTGAATAATAAAAATGTTTAATCGTGGTAAAAAAATTTAATTTATAATTAAACCTAAACTAATAGCAATTTTAGAAACAAAACTCATTTCAATCTTTATTCACTTTCTCTTGAATAAGATTACGTTTGTATTGTTCGGTCGTCTGAAGCACTTTACGTGAGAGTCGCATATGGCCTGAGACCGGGTCGCGGCCGAAGTACTTCACCTCAATCTCTTGGCCCACGTGTAGGTCGAGCGCCGATGGATGGATCACTTTGCGGACATCCAGTTGCGAGACATGGAGTAACGTCGGGGTCATTGTGGGGTAGAGTTGGACCAAAACACCGTTCTCGCGCAACTCAACGATGCGCGCCGTGTATATCGCGCCAAACTCCAGAGTGGGCTCCGAGGGCTCGTCGATGATCGACTGTATCAGCTCTTTGGCGTCGGCCAACGCTTGCCGGTTGGGCGCGTACATCGTGTACCGGTTCACGTCCTCCTCGTCCACCGTTAGCCGTACGCCGAGATCTTCGTTCAGTTTGCGCACAGTATAGCCGCCGGAGCCGAACACGCGGGCCCTCCTGTGCGCCGGTATATCGATCGACTCGTTCACCGGCCGGTTGTCCGTATCGGTGCGTTTGCGGGGTTCGCCGCGCGTGGCGTTCATTATCTTAATGATCTCGTGTTTGGCTGCCGACGACTTCTGGATGGCCTCCACGAGCACCGGGAAGGGCAGGCCGTCGGCCAGTTTGCAGTCCAACTGCAACGCTGTGAACGCCTTACGAGTGCCGGCGATCTTAAAGTCCATTTCGCCGAAATGATCCTCCAGTCCCATAATGTCGGTCAACACGCGATAGTCGTCGCCGTGTTTCACGAGACCCATCGCCACGCCGGCCACCGGTGCGGCGATCTCCACGCCGGCGTCCATTAGCGCCAGACTGCCGGCGCACACGCTGGCCATCGACGACGAGCCGTTAGACTCGAGCACTTCGCAGTTGAGCCGTATGGTGAAGGGATGCTCGACGGGAACCACTGACCTCAGGGCCCGTTCGGCGAGCGAGCCGTGACCGATCTCGCGGCGGCCGACACCGCTGGCGCCCGTCTGATTGGTGGCGTATTGCGGGAACTCGTAGTGAAGCATAAAGTTTTTCTCTTTCAAACCGCCGGTGAGTACGGAGAACGGGTCCGACTTCCAGGCGCTGTCCAACGAGTCGAATGTCAACGAACACAGCACTTGTGTGAGCCCGCGCTGGAACAGTGCCGACCCGTGCAGTGGCCGGTAGAGGTCGACGTCGCAAGTGATTGGCCGCAGTTCACTGGTTAGTCGGCCGTCGCATCGTTTATGGCCGGTGGCGACCATTTCGGCGTACAAACGCTTAATGCATGTGTGCATAGCGTCCGCAATGTGGCCCTCCATATCGGCCCCAAATCGCTGCCGCAACTGATCCGTGGCTGTGGTTTGTATGACTTCGTTGGCCTTATCTCTGGAGAACTTGTCGTGACTGTAATCGCTGAACACTTCCCGAATTGGTGTCTCAATTAATCTGAAAAATATTAGAGAAAATATTAATATTCGTATAATAATCACCAAAAACAATGGCAAGCGATGAACGACTCAATAGAGTGAACAACTAATGCAAGACATTATCATTAATGTTACTGTAAATCAATGTCTGGTCTGAATTAATCCGTTAATCACTAAACACCCGTTCATTACACATGCCATTGGACTAAACACTAGTGATAAACACAACACATACTCTTTGACGGCTCTGTACAACTCGTCGGTGTACCACTCGTACTGTACCCCTTTGGGCCACTCGTCGACCTCCCGTTTCGGTTTGCCCGCAGACTCCTGGAGACTCTTCAACTGCCGGACAAGTAGTTTACACTCATTGACCGCTTTGTGTAACGTCTTGACGAGCTGTGGCTCGAGCACCGGCTCGTTGGCGAAGGCCTCCAACATTGTCACGTGACCCGACTCTTGACAGGTGACCACCACGTTCAACGCCGCCGCCTCCATCTCCTTACGCGTGGGACACGTGATCAGTTCGTTGTCGCCGCGGGTGAGCGCCACGCGTACGGCGCCAATCGGGCCGTTCCAGGGTATGTCCGACAGGGCCAACGCCGCTGAGGCCGAGTTGATGGCCAGTAGGTCGGGATCGTTGGCGCCGTCCACCGACAACAGATTGCACACCAACTGTGTCTCGTGATTGTAGCCGCGCGGGAACAGTGGGCGCACCGACCGGTCCACGAGGCGGGCGCCGAGCACTTCGCGCTCGGAGGGGGCGCCCACTTCTCGGCGCAATCGGTTGGCCGGTATGCGACCGCCGGCCGAATACTTGTGTCGATAGTCGACGGTTAGGGGCACGAAGGAGGCGTAACCGGGGCGTGGGGTGGGCTTATGTACGGCCACCACCATTACGTTGGTGTCGCCACAGCTCACGACAGCGCACCCGTCCGCGAGTCGGGCCAATCGGCCGCTCGATATACGCATTGTCCGCCTGTAGGGAGCGATAAAAACGATTAATGTAAGTGTGTTTTAAGTGCCCCACGTTTAACCCACTTCTCAAACCCCCCACTCATAAACTTTTAGCCATAGGATAACCATTGAATGGTTAGTAATGGGGAAGTTTGCGAGACTGACAGCTCCCCCCCCCCCCCC